TGTGGTATCCTGAGCAAATCATTTACCTTTCCAGTTTCCTAAACTCTAAAGTGGAGTTAATGATAATAATAATGTTAATAATGATGTAACTTAACTTCATAAAATTGTTGAGAATTAAATCAACATATTTTGAAGTGCATATAATATTAGCAGGAACCTAGTACGTTCTGGAAAAATATTTTTGTTATTATCATTGGAGTGATTGTCAGTCTCAGGGAAATGCAATTATCATCTAAGTAAGAAAGAACCTTATATCAGTTACACTGATTTAACAAATAAGACTAATATCAGCTATGCGCAGTGAGGCACTCTTGTAATCCCAGCAACTTGGGAGGCTGAGGCAGGATCATAAGTTCACAGTAAGCCTCAGCAACCTAATGAGATCCTATATCAAAATAAAAAATTAAAAGAGCCAGGAATGTAACTCAGAGGTAGAGTGCCCATAAGTTCAATCCCTAGTACCTCCCCCCGACAAAATACATTAGCAATCAGAAAACTCAGTGTTTGATTTATGACTCTTCAGAAATTTCATCAGATGATCAATGTTGTATCCAGACTGTCCTTTAGAATGAGGGAAGTAGGAAGGGAGGAAAAGCTGTGGGAATCTTTAAATATCTGTGGTGTTATCTCAGGATTAGACCCCAAAAATGTCCCATGAGAAAGCCTCCATTGGACTGGCTCCTTAAAAATTAATTCACAAATCAAGTTTGATAGTAAAAACCTGGGAATCTTTTAATATAGCTTTTTATGTTAACTGAGATTTTTTTAAACTGTGCTCAAATCCTAGGCATGAATAGAATGCTTCCAATGAGAGAGCGTTCCAAAACAGAGGAAGACATTCTCCGGGCAGCACTTAAGTGTAGCAGCAAGAAGACTGGAAGTAACCCCACATCAGCCTCTGATGATTCCAACGGACTAGAGTGGGAAAATGATTTTGTCAGTGCCGAAATGGATGATAATGGCAACTCCGAGTATTCTGGATTTGTAAATCCTGTATTAGAACTGTCTGATTCTGGCATGAAGCAGTCTGATATAGGTCAACAGACTCGATAGGGTGAAATTGTGTAACCTGTTTATCCCAGTTATGACCAAATGTTAAAAACCAACTAGAATGTATAAATGGTTGCGTTGCGCCTTTTTGTAAAGAGGAGGTTAGAAACCACAGTGTAAATGATTATTTTGTTAGAAAGGAATAGGAATGATAGATCTGAATTGCTTCAGAATTAAGTGCAATTTTATCATCTGCCTTCTGCTTTTCAAGACCTATTTAATGGTTTTGTCATGTTATCAATTTCCTTTATTTTAACTCGTTAAAGCATTCCTGTTTACTCTTATAGATTTACATATTTTAAAAATGTTCATTACTTTTACTTCAAATGCTTTACTAATAAGCCTATTCCATTACTGTGAAAATATTAAAAGTATTTTTTGTTAATTCTCAGCAGATGTGAAGGGAGCATGACCAGGGATTGTCAGATTTAGAATAGTATCCATTTTCCAGCATTATTTACTTCTATGGCTTCTTTGGATTTTATTAACTAGTATTAAGCACAATTAATTTGCATAGATGACCCTAAGAAATGCTGAAATATCAGTTTCTTTCTGTATTTATTGTATAACTAGTATGATGATCTTGAGTCAATCTGAACAAAAGATAAAAACAAACTTTCAGAGTTTGGACATTTAAATTGGTAATAAAAAATGATATTTAAGGAAATATGTATAATTTAGGTTTTTCACTTCCTTTTACATGCTACTATATTGACTTTAAATTGATATATTAAGTTTTTAGGTGTCATTATTTTTTAAAATTCTATATTTCCAATGAATGATCTTAGATTTTACAGAACATTCTCTGAATGATTTAAGAAAAGGAAACATAAAAAGAGTAATACGGGTATTTCAAAGTAAATAAAATCCTTTCTGGTATGAAAGGTTCTATTGATTTTATTACACTTTTCTTTGCCTTGTAGTACAAGGTACTTCAATGGGATGGAACTAAGTCTATCAATATGTATATATATATAACTGCATTTTGTGATAGTTAACTTTCCTTCTCATTGAAATTTGTGTATCAATATCAAAAGCCAGGGATATAAAACATTCCCTAATTGCTTTCCTTGATTTTGCTGAGGATGGAGTATGATTTAATAACAAACCAATTCTTTTTTTTCCCTTAGTGTATTTTTCTTTTCTTTTTCTTGCAACACATGCATGTTCTCAAAAATATAGGAAGGTCCAGATATAAATAGTAACTTAAAGTTCCTGCTGTATTTAAAAAAAAAAAAAAAAATCATGTGGTCCTTTCAATATTTGAACTGCTAGGCAATGAATCTGTAGTTTTTTGTCCTTTTTTTAATCTCATAGAAATAAATATGATAATTTAATATGTAAATATAATACATTAGGAAATGCTTTTATGTACATCTGTCAATATAATTTGAGTTGTAGCTATGTCATTGAAAATATTTTAAAGGTACTCTATATTCACATTGCCTGTGTTAATGCTTTTTAAAGTTTATATACATCAGATGTATATTTTTGGTTTGGCATAAGCTACTATTGTAATTTTTCTTGGCTTTTTGTTCATAAAAAATTTTCTGAAGGAATGGTAACTTCTCAAGGATTGTGAATAAACACATTTTTACATTTAAAGATAATAAATTATTTGATTATTACTGATTTTACTTTATAAAGATACAAATATTATGACTCAACTTAAAATTATTAAATCTGATGTGAAAACAAAAAGGAGCAAATTAGGAAAGGAAGATGGAACTAAACTTGAAAATACGTTTTAACTTCTAAGAAAAAGAATGTTAATTTTTGTTTTATGTTTATAAAATACACTAGAAATAACTTATTTATTGAACAAACATTGGAGAGTCTGCAGGGTCTAGGAGAGTGTTAAGGACCTAACAGTAAAAAAACTTAGAAAGTCCCTGCTCTTGCTTACTTACCATCCTGGTGAGAAAGACAGATGATAATAAATAAGTATAAGCAAATCAGTTAGGAAATACGCAAGGTGTGAGAAGTCAGGTAACTGAGGGCCAGGTGACTACCTTTGATAGGTCAGAGGAATCCCCTCTGAGGAGACATTTAAGATGAGCTGGAAGCAAAAAGGCTTTGTGAAGCATGTTATAATCAAAGGGAATGGCAAGTACAAAGTGTCTGCAGTGGGAATGAATTTGGTATGCTGAAAGAATTAAAAAACCATTGGAACTGAAAGCATCAAGAATGAGAGGAGGAGTGGGGTGAGTTGATGTTGGAGGGATCCCAGATCATTCATATGAGGCCTTCTAGGTCATGGTTAAGAGCGAATTTTATTTGATGCATAAAAGAAAGCCATTGGCTTGTCAGGATGTATAGTGATCAGATTTGCATTTTCCAAAGATCAGCTGCTATGTAGAGAATGAATTTTAAGAGAACAGGAGTGTATGCATACAACTCCCAAAGGGACATGGTGTGGTTTGGAATTATGAATGGATGCAGAAATTAAGAGCAAATTGAGTGGTAGAAACTGTAGGGTTTTCTGATGAATTGGATATGAGGATAACAAGACTATCCTATTCATAACTGCATATAAACCACACAGGCAAAAACTCTGATTCTTCCTGGAACATGCCAAATAGTCTTGGAGGAGTTGTCAAAGGGCAATTTGTCACCTGCCTCCCTTTCTTGAAGAAGGCTTCCATGAAGTAAATTCCTCATGCAATTCCATGGGTCCAGTGAAGAATGAGACTCTACCTCACCCCTAGTTATGTACAGAAATAGGCTAGTAAACTGCTTGGCCACAGTTAACAGTGCTCCCCAATAACAGAACTACCCTCAGCTACACTTATATAGTCTGTCTTCTCGTTCCTTTGGTTCAGTGTCATCTCAGGGACATTTCTAAGGACAAGGGATTCAGGGAGATGACTGTGCTGCTGTTGTTTTTGCTATCAGTGCAAGTAATAAACTATCTAAATTTGTTTGAGCTCAGAGTCTCCCTAAAGGCCAAATCTGTGGGAGTGTGAGAGCCAACATAGCAGTTGTAACTGTCCCTCACATTAACTTCTTGGCTCTGACTTGACTCAGTAAATGTAATGGAAGAAACAGGCTTGGGAAAGTGGGGGACATGAAGAGTTCTGTTTGAAAGTTGAGTTTGAGCTGTTTATGAGACATTTGAATGAGGATCCTAGGGTGTATGTCTATAGCTCAAGGAGATCCTATGGTTGTAGGTCTATAGCTCAAGGAAGGAGGTCTAAGTGAAGTTTGGGAGTCATTAGTAGGTTAGTGGTATTTTAAGTCATTCCATTATCTGAGTTCACCCCAGGGAAGCATAAAAGCAGAGAAGGTCAGTTTCTCTCAAGTTGACCTTTAAAGAGAAGGAGAAACAGCCTAAAGAAGATTCAGAAGGAATACAAGTGTGGTGTCATGCCAGGAGATGGGGTTCACCAATATCAAATGCCCCAAGAAGAGGATGGGTGAGTTAGGGTTGGGTTTGGGAACATGAAGACTGATGCATATCTGTTATACAAGTGAGGGATGGAAACGGAGGAGGTAGGGGATAAAGAATGAAGAACAGCCGGTGTCGCCATTTTTTGAAAAGTTTTGCTCTCAGCAGAGAAATGGGGTAGTTGGAGCGGGTATGGAGTAATCTAAGGTTTTTATTTAAGATACCAGGAATACTTTAGGTACGTCTAAAATGATATAATTTGAAATTATTCCTGCTCTTTTTCAAGATAATATAATAATAATTTTGATATATTTTTTTAAATTTTGTTTTTAGTTGTATATGGACATGATAACTTTATTTATTTTTATGTTGTGCTGAGGATTGAACCCAGTGCCCTACATGTGCTAGGTAAGCTACAACCTAAGCTACAACCCTAGCCCAATAATTGGATATATTATTTTAGTAGAGGCCCAAATTATCATTTTGCTCTATATAAAGATGTCCTAGTCATAAGTTTTTAACATAGCCATCTTAAAAAAACACACACGTGATATCAAATATATTAATGGTATCCTATATTTATTTTCTTGGTCCCTCTAGTTAATTATCTGATTGGTGAGATCACACAAGAATTATCTAAGAAATGGATTTCCTGAATCTAATTCTTATATCCTTAGGTAATATTAAAGGTAAAAATAAAATTAAAGTAGAAAAATATTAATATGAATATTTTTATTATTACAATTTATTTAAATGAGTGAATATACACTAACATCCTCTGTAGTTCAGAAATCTTTTATATGTGACTGTAAATATAAGGAGCTAACTGTGCTCAGTGCTATTCACAATAACATGCTGTGTGGAACACTGATAAGGGACCATATAAGTGTACGCAACTGATCTAAACAGAGACACTTAGAGAGAAGTACTATTTTAATCCTTATTTTTCAGAAAAGGATCCTGAGCTAGTGTCAGGTTACACGAGAAATAGATAAATTGAGGCAGTATGATTGAGAGCTCACTCTCAAGACTATAACTTCATCCTGTAGAAGTTAGGTCAATATTATTTTTTAAGGGGTCTGGGAAGTTTGAGTTTTATTTGCTTAGCTGAGTGTTGAAAAATTGTTTAAAGATACCCAAAGTGATACTGTCATAAAAAGACACTTTGACCTAAAGTGAAGTTCCATTGTTGTACCTTATCATGACAGTCAGAAGTTTTCTTTTTGGCTTTTAAACAACAATGACAGTCAACAGTACCAGACTGGTTCATCTCTATCCCTGTAGCCTTCCATCAGTAACAAAGTAGTGAGACCATAAACAGCTGAAATCACTGTTGTCCAATTTTCTTCAGAGCTCCTGACCCTAAATTCCTCACTTAAGAGGTAGAAGTAAATATTTTCATGTAGAATGAATAGTTGAATAATGAGTGATTGGTTTTGGAACAACTCAAAGCAATTAGAAGCCAAATAAATTCCAGTTCACACTTTACATAGCTCTCATCCTTGGTCAACACCTGAAATTTAAGCTCTCTGATGGTTTCAATCATGGTCCACACAATAAAATAGTAACCACAGTTATTTTAACACAAAACAATTAATACAAGGAATTAATTAAACAAGTGTTGACTGACAAAAAGGGCCCTGAAGTAACATGAAAGCAGCTACCACTTATACACACAAAAATGTTAACAGTTATCTCCTGTTAGTAGGAGTATGGCTAATTTTTCTACAGATATAAATAATTTAAAGTACAGCTTAAGTGACTGCATATCCCATCTTACCTTCATAGAAATGAATACCATTGTTCATATAAGCCTAAAAGTTAGGCTTCTATTAGTCAATCCAGACATCATATAGTACACACAGAATTTTCTAGAAAATGGTTATAGAATCATATGGCATGAGATTTCACCAGTGGAAGGCACAACCATGTCGTGAAACTACAGACTCAGGAAAAGTTACTATAGCACTGGCACAAGTTAACATACCTCTCAACTTGGCACAAGAAAATTCAATTCCTAGGGACAAAGGAGTCTTTCAGGTATATGTTGAAATTTTCACAGTTCAGCTGCAGAATATCAATATTTTGTTTGTCCCCACCTAGTCCACTGTGGCACTTTTGGTTTTTTGTTTTGTTTTGTTTAGAAAATGCTTTTTTTACCCACATGGTCACTGACCAGAGCAGCTATTATATGTGACCATGTTACCTAAGGAGAGTTGGTTGTGGAGGGGTAACAAGCTGACTTTTCCCTGGAACTGGAATAAGGAGATCAGTTTCTCTTTGAATGATCAATAACATGTAAATCTTGGAGTTATGTGTGGTCTTGTGCCACCATGTATTAGGAGAATGGAGCTGATATTAGTTGTGGGGCAGAGCTGCAGGCATTTGAATCCTGACTAAGGTTTGCTGGTTTCCTTCCATGTGTTCCGTGAGGTACTTCAGCTTGCCTGTAACAACCCCTATTTGTGCTCAGGTAGCTCTGGCAGAGATTTTATGCTTTGTAATCAAAACAATTTTAATACTAACCAATTACTCCATTACTACTAAAAGAATTGGTCTATGAAAAGTTTCTATTATTTCGAGAATAGTAGTATTACTATTTAGTAACCCTCTCTTTTGCCAATCTATTAAGAAAAAAAAAACTTTTTTAAATTGAAGCTTGTATTTCTCAAATCAAACAAATCTTTTGCAGGTTAAACATTAGGAAAAATCATTAACTAGTTTATATGAACATAAGGTTTTTTTCTGGATGTATCTCCTAACACATTTTTGGGTTCAGTAACAATGATACAGAAATTTCTTAATATTAAAACTTTGTATTTTAGCATTCAGCCATCAGCCTCAAAGACAAGAAACAAGTGGAAAGTTCTTTCAAAATGGCTGAATGTTATATAACCTACACATTAGAGTGTATACACTTTGCTTAGAGACAGCTTGTACCATAAGATCATTTGCACTATGAATAATTCTAACAGCCTGGGTGACCTACTTTGTAAATCCACCTCAGAAAGGAAGTTACAATCCCAGAAAAAGATAAAATAGTAAGCCCAGCGCCGTGGTGCATGCCTGTAATCCCAGCAGCTCGGAAGGCTGAGGCAGGAGGATCATGAGTTCAAAGCCAGCCTCAGCAAGAGCAAGGCGCTAAGCAACTCAGTGAGACCCTGTCTCTAAATAAAATACAAAATAGGGCTGGGGATGTGGCTTAGTGGCCCAGTGTTCTGAAGTTCAATCCTCGGTACCCCCCCCCAAATTTTTTTTTTTAAAAGATAATATAGTAAAGGCAACTTAGTGATTAGAAGAGATAGTAGATAAATAACTTCAGGTCAGAGTATTTGCTGCTATAACAAATTATTGCAATTTAATGGTTCACAACAAATTTATCATCTTCAAGTTCTGTAAGAAGTCAAACACAAATCTCACTGGACTAAAATTAAGGTATCCACAGGATTTCATTGCATTCTAGAGGTTTCTCTGCCTTTTTCAACTTCTAGATATCAAGTGCATGATTTCTAGCTTCTAGAGACTACCTGCATTCGTTGGCTCACAGCCTCCTTCCTCCATCTTCAAATCCTGCACCAGCAGATCAAGTCCTCACATTTCATCACTCTGACATCTTGCTCTGCCTCTCCTATTTGTAAGGACCCTGTAATTATTAGGTCCAGAATAAGCTAAGACAATCTCTCTATTTTAAGGTGAACTGATGAGCAAACCTAATTCCATCTGCAGCCTTAATTCCCATTTGCTACATAACAACACATTCACAGTTTCAGAGGTTAGCACATGGACATCTGCACATCTTGGGCCAAGCCATTACTCTGTCTACCACAGGGAGTAAGCAAAAAAAAAAAAAAAACAGGACACAGGAACTGAAAGTTATTTGGGCCACTTTAAGTAGGGACAAATAGTTCTCTCTACAGCAATAGTTCCAGGGCTGAGGAGGGGCCGAGGTGTTGGACATCATCTTTTATAGTCAGGAGAAACTGATGGTCTGATACAACAGAAGGTTACTTGGGCTAACAATCATTGGAAGGAGGCCAGAAAGTTTAAAATATTATTAAAAATATTTTAGAAAGGCTGTTACAGGAATATGTTTATTTTTTTCAAAATTGGACCTGTTATAGCAGGACATTTCATTAACCTGGAAATTTCATTTCTTCTTCTTTTTTTTTTTTTTTTTTTAGTTGTCAATGGACCTTTATTTTATTTATTTATATGTGGTGCTAAGAATCCAACCCAGTGCCTCACAATTGCAAGGCATGTGCTTTACCATTGAGCCACAATCCCAGCCCCGAAATTTCACTTCTTAATGCTAGAATCTAATTAATCAAATGGTTCTTATTTATGTAACATTCACTTTAACTTAGCTAAAAGAAGTGAAATGTGAATGTTTTAAATAAATACAACTTTATTTGAAGCTAAATTTTTAGAAATGTTTAAGCATTTATTATAAATATTTACATATATTTATTTATATATAACATCCTAAGAATAATTATTTCCCTTTTTTCAAAAGTTTCAAAGAAATGGTTAAGGAATTAAACTTTGATTTTATTATGTTAATGAATGCTGTTAAAAATTGAAATTTAAATTGGGCTGTGGCACACTTGTAATCCCTGTGACTCAGGAGGTTGAGGCAGGAGGATCACGAGTTCAAAACTAGCATCAGCAATTTAGGGAGGCCCTAAGCACCTTAGTGAGACCCTGTCTCAAAATAAATGATAAAAAGGGATAGGGATATGGCTCAGTAATAAACTGCCCCTGGGTTCAATCCCTGGTACCAAAAAAAAAAAAAAAATGAAATTGAAAAGTTATGTAAAGTACATAAAAATCAAACTTCAACTTTGGTAAGAAAGTAATTTTAAACAGTGGTTTTTAAAAGTGTTTAAATATTAGTTTTAGATAATAAATACAGACCAGGAGATTAAGGAGAACTGTTGTCTTAGGAACAGAATATAATTCCATAAAGAAAAATCAAGGTATTGTTTCTCCTTATATTTAAGCCACAATGACGTGCAGACAGAACTCTAGAACTCATTCCAGTACTCTGGTTCTACAAGTACTAACAGGCTATAGACACCAGTTAATAACCTGCCTGGAGCTTTGACCTTGAAAATTAATGGCAGCTGTGAAATGATGTGACCAAACCAAGATATAATTCCTTACAAAAGCAAATTCCAACCGATATCAAGAAGAAAAAGAAAATATATGATCTTATTTTGAGAACACAATTTCATCACAAGGATATTTTTACACACTAACCCTCACTAATGTACACTTAATTCTTCATAGATCCAGAAGTGCAACAGGTGACTAAGACGATGAGTAACAACACGATGGTAATAACAAATCCCAAACTTGGCAGCCTAACAGATGACTATGATGTACTAAACTAATAAACTTTTAATAAGCAGAATGTCTCCAATCTGTTCTTCGTCCTTCATGTTTCTCCTCTTAGACCCTCAGTTCACAATTCATTTTCATCCATTTCTGTAGGAAGAGGGCTTTGGGTAGAACAGGATGAACAGCTGCCATTCTCAGGTATGGGTGTCTGTGCTGGCCAGTTTTCCTGCAAGAGCGGTCTTGGAGAAAAAAGAAATCGTGTCTCAAACCATTCCAGTGACTCTCCATCTTCCTTCTCCAACAGGAACTGATACTCACCGAATCTGATCATGCACCGGTAGGGCAAGTCCATTTTATTTAGGTAGCCTAGCACCTGGCTGTCCACAATCAGACTGGTCTTCCTGCTCATATTTTTAATTTCAAAGGAGAGAACTGCGCTGTTAAATTGTTTAAATGGCTGCAGAGAAAACTGAATTCGTGAAGCCTGTTTGTCCTGAAAAACATAATGACAGATGTTGGAATTCCGTCCAAATTTTATCACTTCGGTGGAGGGGAATTTCTTTCTATCATAAAATGTTATGGATTGAAATATTCCACTTTGCAACTGGCCAGGGTGATAAACAGTCATGTGGAGACAAGTTACTGTCTCTTCTGTGTCGGCATCTTCAAAAGTGGACATGATGTGCACCAGAAGATCAGCCTGCAACAGTTAAACCACCAGAGTTAGTTCACATCGCTGAGAACTTTGATTCTAGTATTCTGATGGAAACTTTTTATAGATCATAATACACAAGACCCTCTCAATTAGCTAATGCATGTGTGAAATCTTACACCAAGCCCTATCGGAATTGGTGTCTTACCTTTTGCTATCTCTACTTTTCATTTCTAGTTTGACCCTAAGACCATACATATAATCTGGACATCAGCAAGTGATGATTATTGACAACATAGTGACATGGAAATTTCAGATCCATTCTCATTGAAACAGAATAACTTTAGCCAAGATAAAATATGACAGTTGTACTTTAAAAAGAAAATTGGGAATTAAAAAAATCTCTGGTTTGAATACCCTGAGAGGACGTACCCATAAAACCTACACTTTATTAGAAATTTGTTATAAACAAATAATTGAAATATTGTTCCTTATATCCTCACTCAGAGTTCCAATAGTTAAATAACTGAAAATAGTAAATGCTTTCAATGGTTATCATATTCTTTAATTTTAAATTTAGAAATTACACACTTAAAATAAATCTCCACAAGGTAGTTCTAAATATCATGGTCTGCACTGGTACTGGAGTTGTTTATTTCTGTGCATGGTTTTTAGCAACTGTATGCTTTTTGGTCATTAACCACAAGCAACAAACCAACTGCTGTTAACCACATCCTTATAGCCCCGAGCCCTCAGGTGCCCCCCAACTACACTTTCCTATGTTCACTTTTGATAATCAGAGTATTTAAAGTAGTATAACCAGAGAAGAGAATTAACTGCTAAAATTTTTATGACGTTATTTTAACATGAAACTGCCATTTCAAAACTAGTTTAGTTTTAAAATTACATGCATATGATATGAAAATTCAAACGATAAAACAAGAATTTGGAAATCTCTTTCCACATCCTAACCCTTTGTCTTTCTCTCCTAGAGTTTGCTTTTAAGATTGCTTTTAACCTTAAAAAAGTTGGTTCTTGACAGCATAAGCATGCACACACACACACACACACACACACCAGCATGAGCATGTACACATATGTGCCACATGTGCATGTTTCTCCCTAAGGTCTTTCACAAATATAAACATAGTAGATTTAGTTCTGGACTTTACATTGTTTCCTTAAGAGCGCACATGGGTGATTTTTTTTCCACCTATACCCATCTCAATATAGCTCACTCCTTAACAGCTCCATAGAGTTCCTTTCATCTGTGTTGTGATGAGGTGTAGAGATATGCTAAGCATCCCCTGCTTTTCTTGTGTGCTTCTTTCTTGTATTGCTGGACCTCTGCTTATACTAGTTTGGGGTTTTGACACTAATAATCTTAAGTGAGGTTGATTTTTAGCTTAGATTTCATTAATTTTTGTTTGCCATCTACATTAGATGTTGGTATCAAAACTATACTGATCTGAAAAAGAAAAAAAAAGAATACTTTATTCCCTTTCTGTTTGTTGCTATTTACTTTTTAAATATTTATCCTTAAGTTTTAGGTGGACACAATATCTTTATTTTACATTTATGTGGTACTGAGGATCGAACCCAATGCCTCGTGCATGCTAGGTGAGCACTCTATCACTGAGCCACAACCCCAGCCCCCCCACCTGCTATTTACTTTTAAAATAGAATCTTTTCTTCTGTTTTGCAATGTTATGCTGCTAAAACCAAAATTAATTCACTTCATTATTCAACAAGTGGCAGAGCTGAGCAAGATTACTATTTTTTACTTGGAAATGCATCTTTATCTTTACAGTTTCATTCATCATATAGTTCTTGGACATTGTAACATCATATTGGACTATCCAAAGAGAAAAGAAATGTCCAGTTATAAGTAGAAAAAGTGAGAGAAACCCTCAAAATCTTGGGCCAAGAATGACAAAAATAATCATGAAAACAAAGCCAGCAAGAATTAACACACAATGAATAGAACTGGTTGATCCATCCTACACTGTAATTTGAAGATGCTTTAATTAGGATAATAAAGTCTCATTATTCAAGAAGTAGACAGCATAAGAGAGAATAATTATAATAAGTCATGGGATGGTGCAATTAGAAATTGACAAGAAAAAATGTGCTATTGTGCTATCTGGGTAATTTTTACTTTCCTCCTAGGTTTTCCTGTTTGTTTTAAAATTTTCCACAATAAACATGTATTACACTTGCAATATTTAAAAATCAAAATTAAAGAAAAAAATTTAAAACAAAGAATTTGCTCTTAACATTCAGTAAATAAAGAAGAGCAAGAATCTGTCCATGACCTCCAGCTCTGTCTGGGATAAGCTGCCATTATTCATTCCTGGGCTTTGGACAGTTCAAAAAAAAAGAACTGGATTTAAACATTCTGTATTCTGGATATAAACAGACATTTTGTAGACAGCCAATTTTTGGTTTTGGATTTCTACATAAGCTATTAGCTTATAATTCTGTCTTTTGAGCAAATTCACCACCAAGAAAAGTTTGCTCCATGTAGGCTTTTACACCTTGTACCCAGGGCAGATATATTATCCAAGGGAAAAAACAGGCATTCTGGTTTGTAAATCAAGGTCTATAAGCAGGTCAGTGTGAATCAATTCTTATAGGGTTTGATGAACCTATGAGCACCCAGTAGTGACTTCTTCCAACACAGACTGTCAAGTATTTGCTACCTCTTCCTCCCAGGCCTACCCCTCCCAGTTCTGATACATTAGAAAGATGACTGGTCTACTCCTTCAGAATGGTGATTCACCCCTTAAGAACCATGTCAACATGAATGGAAACATGAGTGGAAATTTAACGTTCAAGAAGAATTTGGGGGAGGGGAGTACCGGGGATTGAACCCAGAAGCGCTTAACCTCTGATCTACACTCCCAGCCTTTTTAATTTTTTATTGAGATGGGATCTTACTAAGTTGCTTAGGGCCTCACCAAATTGCTGAGGCTAGCCTCGAATGTTCAATCCTCTTGCCTCAGCCTCCAGAGTCCCTGGGATTACAGGTGTGCACCACCAGGCCAGGCTCCAAGCAGAGGCTTTAAAAAGCTACTGTATATTTGCATCTTCTCTCTTTCCTTTGTTACATCAGAAGTTTCTAAAAGTTAATGATCAACCTGGGTCCTGGAGGGAAGGGCTAGAGACAGATACATAAAGAACATAAGCAAAAAAAAATCAACCCTTCTTCTCTGAGATTTTTGGGGTTATTTGTTACTGCACCATAAAGTAGCCTGAGCTGACAAATGCATTTACCTATCTTTCAAAGGTAAGAAAGGACTGACAACAAGGGTTCTTACTTACTATATATGTCTTACACGTGCCAAGCACTGTGCTAAGCCTCCACTTCATCTTCCTAATGTGCAAAAGAACCCTATGATCCATCACTTCACAGATGAGGGACGTGAATCTCAAAGGATTTAAATACTAGCCTATTCACAAATGCAGTGTCAAGGGCAGGATTCAAACTCTAATGCTCCCTCACTTACCATTACAAGCTCTGCCTCCTTGGTTACCAGTTCCTTCACAAACTATAGCAGTTAATCTAAAAGGAAGGAGGACTTAGGAATGTGTGTTCTATTGCCAGCAAGCCACCAACCTAGACTCTAGTTTTGGGAAGGGAAATATGGTTATTAGCACTGCCTCGTTGGAGGAATATGCTCTGAAGCACCAGCTTACCATCAATATCAGTTATTCTGAAACCTGTGTGTAAACAATATGAGCATGGACCTAGTATACACCAGCAACTGTGGCAGGTTGTTTGGGGAGCACCAAAGTTGCTCTGGTCTCTGATCTAATCTGATCTAATCTGATTGAAGCTGCTCTGACCATAGTCTCTGATTTCAAGGAACTCAGAAACTAATATATTTGTTACAAAGTGGCCTGGATCCCTGGCATTTCAAAGTAGTCAAAAGGAAAACAGAAAAGGCAGAAACTAACAAATAACTAAAATAATAAATTTTAGATTAGTGGATTTTTACAAAAATCTCCTGTGCAGATGGTCAAAAAAGCTTTTTGAAATCTGCGAGACTACCAAATGAACAGAGGACAATGAGCTTAGATAGTGAAAACAGTGGAATGGGTATCTCTAAGGAGGGAAACAGGTCAAGGAGACTTACTTTTCACCGTATACTTTGAAATTTGGGGATTTTACACTAAGTGCATTAAGATCTATTCAAACACAGCCCAGCCCAGTGTCACATGCCTGTAATCCCAGTTGCTCTGGAGGCTGAGGCAGGCGGATCATAAGTTCAAAGCCAGCCTCCATAAAAGTGAGGTGCTAAGCAACTCAGTGAGAACTTGTCTCTAAATAAAAAAACAAAACAGGGCTGGGGATGTGGCTCAGTGGTCGAGTGTCCCCAAGTTCAATCCCCAGTACACACCCCCCAAAAAAATTCCACAAATTATTCAAACATTAACAATTTTTTTCTTTACAAAAATCATGAAGTCTTAGAATTTTAAGGAATTTATGGGAATTGGAGATTAGCAAAGCATCATTAATTGGCAAACTATGAAATCTGACATCACAAAGTTGAAGAACACTGATGATGTCTGACAAAGAGTATTATCTGTTTTAACAAAAGAGCTACAATAAAACAGGGCATGTGGGTTGCATGCTTGAGTGTCAAAAGAAGAGCTGACCCCAGCTGTACACCAGGAAGTGTACACTTAACTGGAGGTCTTAGGAGGGGGAAAGAGGGTTATATGCAGTTCAAGAGAAGGCTTCTGACTCCTCTGAAAGAAAAGAAGAATGGATATGTGCACAGGCCTTGAATGAAACAATGCTGTGGCCATCTCCCAACTCTGACCCCTCCCATACACACCCTACCCCCAAGGTCCTGCAAAACCAGTGAAGTGACATACTACCCTGGCATTGCAGAAGGATGTTTGGCCTTCAAATGTCATAAATAAAAAGATATTCAGAGATTTATCTTTGTTTCTTTTTTTTTTTTTTTTTTTTTTTTTTTTGCTAGAAATAGCCAGGTGTCCAAGCAGTTTAACAGAAAGTTTGGCACCCCTGGGTGGTCATGCATGCCAACAAAGTTTCTCAAGTTTTAAGAGTTTGGTCAAAAAACAAAACAAAACAAAGTTGACCATAATAATGGAATTCCTTGTGGATGATGTTAGGAAATGTGCCCCTCTAAAATTTTTGCCTTCTTCTCTCTCTGCCTCAACTCCTCACTGATATTCTGGAGAGAATATGTGATTAAAAGTAGGAAATTCCCATTATTTTCCAAGTCTTTTCTCCCTGACAAATACCCCACTCTAAGCTTATAGGAGGGCAAGAGAAAGTTGGGAGCAAAGCTAGACAGTTTTCCTCCTGCGCAACCCGCTCGGCGGTCATCACCCTGCAGCGCCCCTTTGAAGCCATCAGGGAGGACCCTACAGTTTAGCAGAGCTTGTCAGCAGAATCAATATGTGCTGCGCTCACAGACCTTCCAAAGAGAGTGCTGAAAACCAGACTCAGAAGGAGCAGAACCTTAGAGAGCTCAGCGTTCTCAGGACTGTGCCTTCTTCCTCCCAGGCCGCTGGACTGGCCTGTCCCCTTGGAACCTGCGCGGCCACACTTGTCCGAGGCTGCGGACATCCGCTGTGAACAGTGTGAATTCAGGATTCCAGGGGATTTGGGAAATTCCGATTTCTGCTCTGGAAGCTGGGGAAAGTCCCAGAAAGCAACGGATATACTTTCCTAACGAACCGAACTGAAACAGGCAGGCAGAGGAACTCGCGCTCCGGGGAGCCTCGGGTGCCCGCAGAAAGGTCCCGCCCCCCAACGAGAGCGCGGGGCGGGGGCAAGGGCAAGGGACTCCGGCAAGGATGCTCCGTGCTCCTGCCACCCTTATACATGACACTTTTTTTGCTTTCTGGTTAGGAAAAAAAAAAAAAAACTTACAAAATATAGGAAAGTACAAAGAAGGCACACCCACATCTCCAAAACTTTCCAGAAACTCCCCATTTTGTAAGTGTCCATGTTTTACAAGGCTGGGCTCAGACTATCATTTTTCCTTAGTGTTTTAAGTGTCCGCCTTCAAACCAAGCCAGCAGGCGCGTCTGGTGATGACTTCATGCGACACCCGAAAACTTCCTTGACAAAGCTGACATCTTTAAGGGATAAACAAGAGTCCCCACCTCACCCCTGGACTGCTGACCAGCAGGTACCTTGGGACTCAGGGGTCCGTGAACTTTCTCGAGCGGCTGCGGCGGGAGGGAGGCTTGGGATAGCTGTCCCCGGGGCCAGATGTGAGACGCAGAGGGTGGGTGTGCGCGACAGGCCGAGGCGCCGGGACAGCGCGACACGCCAGGCTGCGGGTGCGAGGGAACCCGGGCAGCCCAACCTCCCACCAGTGAGTGCTTATAAAGCCTGGCGGAGGCGGGAAGGTTTCAGACTCCGCCCGCCCCTCGCCAGCCCCTCGCCAGCCCCTTCCTTCTTTTGGTCACCTCCGCCAATGACGTTCCCTGGAGAAGCCCGCCCCCGTTACCGCCTGAGTTCTCGTGACCCGGTTGCAGGCGCTGGGTGCCAGCGGGGACCACGCCTTCCCCAGCAGCCCACGCCGGAGAGCATGTGACTTGAGAGCTCGGTATTGAAAAGAAGGGAACTAGATCACTTCAACATTAAGGGCTACTTCTCCCCACAAAGGAGGGTTGCCCTGGGGTCACAGCAGGCTGGGAACAGAACTCACTTTTTGGTGACTAAGCATAACAAGCAAGCTAGGAATGCAGGATCACAATCCCCAGGGGAGAGTAGGTCTCCTTCGCAACTGAGGACCCGCGGCAGGAAATTGACGAAATTATGCTGTGTGTATCCATGAATAGATCACAGTGAATTCCACCTTTATGTATACCTAGAAAGCCCCAGGTAAAATTTAGTTCAGTGGTAGAGTGCTTGCTTAGCATGTGTGAAGCCCTGGGTTCGAACCTACCACCATAAAAATTAATTAATTGATTAATTAATTAATAGAAGGACGATCTGTAGAGTAAGGGGAATAGGGGGAGGGAGGGAGGGAGGGACAGGGAAAAAGGAAGCCCTGAGGTTGAAATGGAGCAAAATATATTCCATGCATGTGTGATTGTGTCAAAATGAACCCCACTAGTAATGTAGAACCATAATGTACTAATGAAAACTTTTTTCTAAAAAAAAAAAGCACAGAGGATTCCAACCTACTCCTCTGTGTCTGCGCCTTACACCCACGCAAACAGGCCCTTCCTCTCCAGCCACATCCTTATGAGGGGGCTCTTTGCTTAATTCCCAAGGGCTGGGATTCCGCAGGGAAAAGCTGGTACATGATGAAATGAGAAGCATCCCCTTAGAGTTCTTCATAATTTAGAGTGAAGAAGGTAATGCTTTTCTGCCCCAAGAAAGGTTCAGAATGAGCTAATCGTGGAGAAGGGCTAAAGAGGATAGGTGTCAATATTGGGACAGGAGCCAGATTCTGTATAAGGAGAGAATGGATTGAGAATACTGGAAGGAGGCCAAATTTAGCATGACTGAGGTCATCATAGCTACTTAACGTTTTGCGAGACGATGCACTGATTCTCATAGTCATCAAATGGAAGCCACTCGTCTGGATTCTCTGCTTGATTGTGGGTCATTTTCACTGGCAATAAAAATTCACGAACGCATGCTTGATGCTTCCCGGTCTGAGAGGCAGTGTGGGAGGAGTGAAGTTTTGAACTTCTCTGACTGAGACAGGGATAGTCAGGAGCGTGATTATGATCAAGGGAGGGGTGCATCTACAGTGAAGTAGATTCCTGTAAGGACTGAAATTTTGTTAATCATCAACATTTATTATTTCTTGTTAAGAATAAAGACAGCCAGTGTATCCTCTTTCCGTTGAAGAACATTAGAGCAGGTGGTAGATAAGAAGTGCAACTTGACTAGGCCAATAAACACATAAAATAAAACAATGTTATCAGAATTGGACTTTCTGCTTCATAATTTTTTAGTATTTTTTTAGTTGTAGTTAGACACATTACATTTGTTTTATTTATTTATTTTTATGTGGTGCTGAGGATCGAACCCAGGGCCTCACACGTGCTAGGTGAGCGCTCTACCGCTGAGCCATAACCCCAGCCCCTGCTTTATAATCCTGAAAGGTAAATCAAAGAGGATGTGATAATATTTTATAAACTGCAAAGAACCAAATAAGTAGGTGTTATTAGTAACTGATAGAGAAAATGCAACAATTGCTAAAAAAAAAAAAAGTACAAAATGCTAGAGATTGTTCTGTTTCTCTTAAGATGATTGACCTATTTGATTTACTAAAGGACTCACAATGATACTTTAAATAAGCTATTATTTATGTGTTATAATCGAATTTCATTAACAGTCATTTCCCTCTGGCAACTGGTTAAAAATAATGGATCTTCAACCTGAAGATTGAGGGAATTGAAAAAATGTCAAAGTGTGCACTGGAGAGGCTTCTATTCTTTGTGTTCTTTGAAGACTTGAAGGGACACTTGGCAGAGTTCAATGTGATGCTTATCTCCTTTCAAATAGTGGGTATGGTCATTCCATCTTGGTTTTCCGAACTTCTTGAAAACTGAGAAAAGGTCCAAAAAACTTCTAAAAGCTTGAACAGGGTCAGAGCCACAGAGAAATGTACCTATTTCCATAATTTCAATTTATTGAATTTTCTGAAGTTCCTTGGGAGTATTTACAAAAGAAGCAATTTTAAATCATTCATATCTAAATTAAGTCATTTGTTTTCATTGCTATTTCTGTTTGTGTAAAGCCATTAAAACAGTTATTTTTAAATGAAGAGTTCATTTTGCAGATTTAATAGATTTTACTTGTTTATTTTTATTCAGAGTCAAATTTAAATAAACAGTAAAGATCATTTTTAACGGAAAAACCTAAGCATCATTCTTTGATCATGAAAATGTCTTCACTGTGAAAGGAACACAGTGGGACTTTATGCAATGAAAGTTTACTAAGCAAATGACTAAAATGTGAAAGTCCTCCAGCAGTCACATTAGACTGGAGAAATGTAAAGCTCTCACCAGGTGCTGCCATTACAAATCTGCTGATGAGAAAATACCTGCTGGACTGCACTTTTGAGGCCTTCTTATTTGTAGTTTCCTTTTTTGAAAAGGAACAGAAAATTGATTCTTTTAGTTTCAATGTGGTCATGTCATTTTAACAAACTTGTCCTTCGGTCCTAAAGTGGCTTCAAAGAATAAAACTTTCTCTTGCATTCATGGGCTGCTAACACCTTGTAAATTAGAGGTTAAACCACTTTTTTGTGACTTTCATGAAGACTTCAGCCGAGGGCTGGGGATGTGGCTCAAGCAGTAACGCGCTCGCCTGGCATGCTCGGGGCGCTGGGTTCGATCCTCAGCACCACATAAAATAAAATAAAGATGTTGTGTCCACCGAAAACTAAAAAATAAATATTAAAAAATTCTCTCTCTCTCTCTCTCTCTCTAAGAAAAAAAATTAAAATTAAAAAAAAGTCAAACCCTCCCAGGGGTGATGGGGTCATAGGAAGTACACTAAGTACTTTCAGGAAGATTTTAAAAGGAACTCTTTAGGGAAATTTGTTCAGCAAATCAAAACAGAAGAAAACAATGGATATAAATGTTCTTGGTGCAAAAATGAGAGACTTACTGTTTGAACTATCAGTAGCTAATCATTTAATTTGAAAATAATATAAAATGCCCACAATCTAACATATTTCTATCCAGCTTTGAACATTTTGAAATTACCAGGTTGTATTGATACTAAAAGTATTTTTCCCCTCAGTTCTTCTATTCAATTGTCGTATTCCATAAATTAACTTTCCCCACCACCGTCACCCTCATCCCTATAATATGGATTCCACATAATATCTAATTGATACTTGGTTGTTTCAGACTACAAAAATATTTTTCCATGGAGAGAATCTTCAGAATAGTTTTTAGATACTTTCTCAAAATCCACAATTAAGTCCACTTTTTTCATTTATAATTAGAAATAAAGGAAGCTGATTTATGGTAATACAATGACGTCCTATAGAAAAAGTAAGACAGAGTTGCTTGTCTATGTTTCTTGCTGGTAACTGGGTTATGGGATACCTGCTCTCTATTCAGGATGCTCTTTGCAATGAAGATAAACCCTCACCTGACTCCCTTGTCCAACTCAGACCTTCAGATTATGTGTAACTCCACTCAGGGCTGCTATGCTAGTCTACAAAAACATTTGGCATTGTCTGAGATAACCTCACCTAGCTCTTCTTCCATTAATCCCAAAATGAGTGACAGGAAGAAGCCCAAATTGTTTGCATGGAAACCCAGAAGGCTCAGTTTGGACTTCTTTTTCTTTTCCTGCAGTAAAGTAGCTGGAATTAAAATGGACAATTTAGATTTATGTGGAAAGAACTTCAGGATGCACTACTAAAGAAAAAACAAGTACAGAACAAAAATGCTACCATTTGTAGAAAGATGTATTTCAATGCATGAACTATCTGCAGAGACCCATGGAACTGATAATATTGATTAATCTGAGAAGAGCATGGTGGAGAAAGGGGTAGAAGGTGAGAGTGGGGGAGAGATTTCTCATTGTGTGCTTTTTCAGGCTGTTTGGATTTTATAATATTTTGCACATATTACATTTACTTACTTATACACACACGCACACACACACACACACACACTCAAACTTGATAAAAAGAGACAAGTAAGAGAATCTTTCAAGAGAGAAATCCCAGTGCTTCAGAGCCTCAGTATTTTTCATATGATGGAAGACTGATAAAATTCAGGCTCTCCAGAGAGTAGTTAGTGATAAGGAGAAAACTGGATGCCCTAGAGACAGGGTCCGTGGAGGGTATAAGGAGGTGAAAGAGTCAGCCTATGTAGGGCCCTCAGTTCTCCCTATGGGCA